GCTGAACCCCGTGACCCCCTGCCTCTTTATTTTAGTTCGTCACAAAGCACTCAAAGAACGGCACTCAGACTGATCCTCTTCATCTAGAAGAAAAGACACACGGGACGCTTAGCAGCGCTCTGAGGAACCTACTGTTACACTTTCGACGACTTCCTTGAAACGAAGAATACCCAAGACGCATTCCCCTTTTATTCAACTTTTATACAACTTTTATTCCTTTTATCGTTCGATGTTTTATCTCTACAGTTGGGTTAGGTTAGGTTAGTTCGTTTCCTTTTATTACCGATGTCCTTTCGATAGATGGACCCTCTGGCCTTTAAACCTTTATACCGAAGTTAGTATTATTATAGTCCGATAGTCCTGTAAATAGTTTAGGTTGTAATTCGATCGACTTTTACTTATCCTGTACTTATATCGATTTTGTTTCTGTTTCTTCGTGTTAGAAATCTCGATGTGCGATTCAGTTTATTATTTTATAACTTTTGTTAATAATAGGTCGGTATAATTTATGGAAAGCATTGTGAAGAGAAATGTGTAACGAAGGTTATATGTTATGTTTTGTGCTTATGAGATGATACGTGGTAGATGCGATCTAATTTTTAAGTAGTTCAAATCTTTCCCAGAGTAAACTCGAAAGGCTAAAGGGCAAATGTAAACGACTATGTAGAAATTTCTTTCTGCCTGTTAAGATGCTCTATAATTTTAAACAAAGGTAGCGATAATTAGCTTCGTGATCTTACTTGAGTACATTTATGTAAAATTATGTAGAATTATATAAAAGTATCTACTTCATTTTATTTTGGTAAATTGTCATTAGAATTCTAATACCTTATATTAATTTACCTAAATCTGATAATCTGAATCGTAGATTGGATATGAAACAATACTGTATAATGATGTTATAATGTTCATTGAAAATATCAAATATCGGTCATGCCCTAGTGGTTAAGTATAGAGAGCAGCAAATTTACCGATTGACCGACTGGCCGATGTAGTTTGCAATCGCAAAATGCTAGAATCCAGCTGTTTGGTATTTACTACTCCAGCGAATGGATGTGCTACGCTGATCCTAGCGGTACTTGCTGTATGCAACAGATGTTCGATGCAACACACATAGAACATTTTATAAAATACAAGAGAAGTATTAATCATTGTTACATACTATCGCTGTATTAACAAACTATGTATAATATAATATATTATATTATTAACTAACTATCACTATATTAACTGTCATTAGTTTAAGTGATAGTTATAAATATTTGTGATCGATAGAAATTAATATTTCTTTATATACCATTGTTATTAAAAATATGTTATTAAGGAATTGCATATGAAATGTAAAATACTAACAAATTTTTATTTTTCCTAGTATATGATATATCAAACTCTTCCAGTTTTTAAATTCTTTTTACTTTAAAATTTTTAATTTACTTTAAACAAGTAAATCTCTAATTATGACTCGATTATGCGAATTTTATGTTGTTACTAATCATTGAAATACTCTCTTTTCCATTGTTATTCGAACTCCGACATTTCTGGTTAAAGGTAAACGACCAAGTCGAGCAGTTACCGTGGAATCCTTGCTTTTGTATAGCAATGCCTACAGCCAAGATTTCAGATCTGATCTCAAACTCGATTTTCCCACACCGCGAAGGAAAACAACCATGACTCGGGAAATTGCAAGATCGCACTTGAGTACAATAAGCGACAAACAGAACAATGGTCTGTCGAAGAGTGAACGCTGGGAACAGTCACGCCCATGTTAAATATCGTTTGTCGGTGTTGCAGATATTGTTTCCTGAATTATGACAACCCTCCTGAATCGTTGAATCTTCGAAAACGATCTGTAGTTATTTAACCGACTAACGATTGATCGATCGATGACGTTGCTCAACTTGTTGAGTTCGTGACATTAAAAGATTAACCTGGATCACTTGTTTTCTTCATAACCTTTAAGACAAATTGTTAAATCTTTTATAACTGCAAGTGCTATTTCCTTTTATTTCAGAAACTGGGAGAGGAAAAAATTTGGATAGATTAATAAGATGAAATCAGAAATTAGTAAGTAAGTGAACGAAGAATCTAAGAAGTATAGAAAATTGTATTTTTATATTATGTTATCTTTTATAAAAAGTAAATTTTAATTTACAAAATGGTCGATTTAGTTTATTCAAAGTACTTTAAACTTTATTGATGATCGACAATGCAAATAACTGAGTACATTAAAACAATTACAAAGGTTGGGACTAATACAGTCAACCTCTTTATAATACAGTGTTTCGAAATTACGGGACATATGATACAGAACGAATCAATCGTGGTATTAAAAGGTTGGTTTTAATCACAAAAAAAAAAAAATAATCTGATAACTGTTATTAATATTACATAATACGACTGTTGAACAAAAAAATCCTGTAATAATGTTAAATTCTTTTTTTTCGTTTCACCTATCATTATATGTATAATAATTTACTCAACTATTGAGTCAAGAAATAACTTTATTTGCTCGATGAAAATTTCATATCCAATAATTATCCTAACATAAAACGCATGAAAAGACTTAGGTTAGAAACTTAATTTCGTTTTCGTTTTTTTCAATTGTTGTCTAATCATAAATAACGACACTTTCACTAATAAAACGATCTTATTGTTAGTCACTGCTCTAAGCTTCACTGTCTGTCCAGGAAATACATTTAGTAAGAAAATACTTTCTGTGTCTCGAGTTGTTTTATAGACCTGTGTTTTCATACAATGAAAAAGCTGATTCACGAATGAACATCGTGAGAAAGTACTCTCGAAAGAATGCAAATCTGGCGAATCAGAAAGAAACACAGGCCGATTAGTTCGCACGCCATCTGTCTATTTAAAATTGCACAACCTGGAAAGGTTAGTCGTTTGTCAATAAACGAAACCAGCCACTCTGTTGTCACGATAAACGTGGTTGTTTCGACATTATCAAAATCACACACTCGATAGTTAAGTATTTATCGTAGATCGAGGATTTTCCTTTCATCTTTGACATTTTATAATCCCTTGTAATTTCTGAGTTCGTTTGGATTTAACCTACGTATGTATACGTATAAACATGATTAATTACACGCGTAAGAAATTAAATATTTTTTATCATGTAAAACATAGAAAAAGTAATAGATGAAATATATAATTAAAACAGGTAATAGAATAAGGAATTTGTGTTAAGAATTATTGTTTAAATTAGTTAACATACTATAATTGTAAATTATAGTAAATTAGCTCGAAATTGCTTAATTTCAGATGAAATTTTTCAGAGTCGTTTCCCCGGAAAGATTTTAGTTCGCCTAAATATGCAAATTAGAATCTAGTTACCGCTCTCAAAAGTAGACCGTCTGTGAAACCAAGTGTATCGTAGCGTAATTTTGCCAAGCGTATCAAGGCTCCACTCATTTTATCCTGAATTCAAGGTAAGCGTAATAGGACAGAGGATTTTAACACCGCGTTATCGTCAAATTGGTTACAGACTTTCACCGACAATGTTATCAACTGAAATATAAAAAGGTGAAACGTTCTAGGATAGACAATGATTTTCCCATAATTGAACTGAATTCTTTCAGCTTTCTAACAAATCTCGGTGCAATATCCGAGGCTACGACTTTGCTTGATCTTTCGAAGAAGAAGAATAAAAATTTATCTATAAAATTACACGTGCAGAGTATCGGAATGTTTAGAAACTAGAGCACATAATACTACAGTAAAATAGTAAAACATACATAAATGTATGTGTACATATTTCAGTAATTGGATCGATAGATTGAATTTTAATTTTATTTTAATTATATTTAATTATATTTATCAGATAATTTCTTGACTAGTGAATATATACATTAGTATATACTATGATGCATAAAATATTTGTTCCCCTTTTATAATTACAATTTTCTTTTTATTAAAACTAAACGTCATTTGAATAATCAGAAAAAAAATTAATTTTTATAGGAACTACATTTTCATTGATCAACCTAATTCATTGGAAACATAAATAAACGTTCATCCGAGCAAAACTGTGTATATCGTATAAACGAATCGTACAATAAATTTGTTATTTAATTAAGAAAAATGTACATATGTACTTACATGCATGTTGAAAAACTGTGGTAATTAGGAATATTTCAAGGATAATGAACAAATACAATCTGGCAAGAAAATCCACAATAAAGGTTTACTAGACTTGGATCAATTGTCTTGGCCATTTACAATGAAATTATGCAATTTTCGTGCATTTACTTTCAATGTTGAGATGCCATTAAGACCAGACCCATTAACTTTCGTTCTTTTTCAACGCTTTCTTGTTTCTCGATACGGAGTAATTCTTTTCACTTTACTGTTATAGCCGTTCTTAGAAAATGTTTTACAAGTCAATTAACGCAACTACACAGGGTACTTAAATGAACCGAGGGTACGTCCGTCTTAGCCAAAGTTAGGTTCACGCGTACTCTACGAGTATTCAAAGTCGATTTTCTTAACAACGAAGCTTCGAACGAAAAAATTTAATTCTTTATTTTCGATTTGCTTTATCATGTAGAATCACCTCCTTCTCGGTTACACCATCGATGCTGATGTATTGATAGTCATGTAGAATGGGCATGTAAGTAGAATCATCCCGTTCCTGGTTGTATTACTAATGCTGGGCCGGTAAAGAGCTAGAAGTTCAAAAAGTTACTGTAAAATACAAACAAGGTTTTGCTAAATTGAAGCAGTATTAAGTCGAGATTGCTTTTAAAATAAATAAATAAATAAATAAATAAATAAATAAATAAATAAATGAATGAATGAATGAATGAATGAATGAATGAATGAATGAATGAATGAAATGATTAGAAATTCATTTCTAAAAACTAATTTATTAATAAAATTGTTAAGGAGAAACTTAGAAACGACTTAAATATATATTTAAAATTTATAAAATACAAAAATAAAGTATATATATGCGATACCAGCTTAAAAATGTTTTTTGCACTATTTGAGCACATTGGTCCCACTGTGCGACGATTGCTTAGATATTTGTAAAAAAGAAGCATAAGAAGAGGGCTTCCTAGCGTGAAATACAACAATCCCTTGCAATTTTGTAAGTCAAGAGTAATAAATAATACCTGTAATAATTACTTTGAAGCAGTTTTAATAATATTATTTATTATTATTCTTATAATACTTTGGAAATTAAATAATATCACTTATATAATTACAAAATTGTATAATATAATTATAATATATATGAAATTTATAAATTCTTATGTAGCAAAATAATATATAAATTTATCTTTTCTTCAGTACTTTCCGTTTTACATTAACTAAAATTTTAGTATGTATCATGGACACTTTCAATGAACTATACCCTTGATTTTTAACAGTTGCATACTTATTTTTATCTACAAAAAATAACAACATATATTTTTCATGTGTACATTGTCCAAAATTTTCTTTTCAAAAGATGAAACTTTTATCGTATTTAATTCTAATTCCAACCACCTTTAGTAATTATTCAATTCTGTGTTAAATCGGTAACTTTGCAAATGACATAGAAATGGTAAACTAGAGACGTAAACTTATCAATTGTAATTTACCCGTTTAATAAATTATTTTTCAATAATCAAATATTTTGTATAATAAATATTCCATTTGATCAAGGATAATATTTGCATACAATGAAAATTAAAATTAAGAAAGTTATAAAATTTCTTCATAATTTATGAATTTATAGTTTAAAGTTTATTATAGGATTGAATAATAAGTACTAACATAGCATATGTAGATACGTGTCATCAGAAAATTATATATATATTGTTCTTCCATATGTTCCATTGAATGTTTGCAATCAATCGTTAAAATTTGATTTTATGTAAAAAATAGAGACATATATGATTTATAAAATTTTGTATTTTAAATTCATTCAACATTCTATCAACAGAGGGCTATGGAAGTCTTGTAAAAAATATAAAATCAAAATAAATAAGTTAAACTACATTAAAATATCGAATGTTTCTCATTTTTTATTTAATATGCCATGAATCGTCGTATTTGTAAGATGAATTATAAAGTTATCATTATTAGTATGTTTTATTAAAGAATATAGTTGCACAAGGCTAAGATAATTTCAGAACAATATAAAAAAGTGTTGGGCAAACATGTTGAACGTATGTAATTAAGTATAAAAATTGCATGATATTAATAAAACATAACATTGATTGAAATTTTTAAGTAAATAGATATTAGCTTTCGATGTATCTTAACATAAAAATGTTATAACCTAGATTTGTTTTGATGACTTATTATTTTATAATATATCATTTTAAAAATACAGATAATTATAATATAATGCATAATACGTAAGATAAAATTCAGTGGAAAATGTAGTAACGATATAATTAATATCTTAAATAAAATAACGTAAATATATTTTATAGTGTCATTATGACGCGTAAGTGTGTACTGTGCAAGGAAACCAATTACAGAAATACTTATAGCTTCTTCTCAGCACCAAAAGATCCAGAGACACGTAAAAAGTGGCAAAATGCTATAGCCATTGAAAATTATGCTGTTACTGATGATACATATGTTTGTAGTAAACATTTTCACAAAGACGATATCATTACACATTGGGTTAGTGGAGTACCACCACATGTTATAACTGTAAGTTATAGTATTTTGTATACTTATTTCTACTGTACTGTACCATATTAAGTCAATATTATTATCTTTTTTATCATACAATTCTATTATTTGGTAGATTAAGTATAAAAAATGCAGATTAAGACCTGGAGCTGTTCCTGGAAAGAGCTATCATCTCAAAGAAAATATACGTGTTCAAGAAAATTTGGATGATCCTGATAGCAGTATAAATAAATTTGATAAAATAAATACTATAAAAGAGGAAGAAACAGATTTTCTCATACCCAGAACTGAAAAAAGATTACAGATAAATAATGACGAAAGTTATAAAATTACATCTTTACATTATCAGTTTTCTCAAGATTTTAATGGTTATAACTATAATTCTATGGAAAATTCTTTAAACAAAATTAAATTTTCAGAAAATGGCTCAAATGTAAATAATATATATTATGTTGGACCTCAAATTAAAGAATCTTCAGAATATAATTTAAATCAAATGAAACAAAATAAATCGATAAATTTAATGGAAAAAAATGTTATTTCTAATATAAATTTGATAGAAAATAAAGACAGAAAAGAAAAACAAAATCAAATACCCAAAGAAGATTTTTATTGCAATACATCCAAGAAAGTTTTAGAGTCATCCTCTAAAAATTATATTTTTGATGGACATGAAACAATGGTATGGAAACATAAAACAGTCAAAAAAGATATTCCAAAGGAAGAACTAATAGATAATAATTTTAAAGCAACAGAGAATGTATATATAAAAAACCAAATAGTACACAATTTAAATTATAATCAGTTAGATACATACTACCCTATGTTTAATGAAATTAATGAAAATGAAATGTTGTTTGAAGATTTACTTGAAGTATGTACAGAAGTATTATTACCACGTGGTTGGTCTTGTTTAGTAACATCAAAGGGTCACACAACAACGATTGTATATTTATATATGGGAATGACAAAAAGTGGAATGCCTTTCACAGAAAAACAAGTGTTCATAAAAAGTGATTTAATGTTGCATTGTGCTGTTGAAAATAGGGAAATTAATCCACTTATTCACAACCTCATAAGAGAAGGGAAACATTTAAAAATACAAAATTTACTAGATATAGAAGAAGTTATTGACGAATTTAATCAAAGAACTATCTGTCAAGGTATTTATATATTGCCATTATTATTTGATTTATATTTTCAACAAATAAATGTACTTTCTAAATTAGGTATATACACCACAGAAAGATTCCAAAATATTAATCGTATCATAGTTGCTTATAAAGATGGTATAAAATGGAGACACGTTTTATGTCCATTAATTGTGAACAATGATTCATTGAGGTGTACAAAATGTATTTCTCTATCTCATACATTACGATACAAATCGAAAAATCTTATATTTCCTCACAATTCTTCGATACTTAAAAAACAACAGCAGAATGTAGATTCAATTCATCAAAGATATAAACGTGTAAGAAGACAAGATCATGGATATGGATTTATAAAAGTATTCAAACAATAGTTTTAAATAAAATTTTTTAAAAAATACAATTCCTAATTGCTGCATTTCTTTACCTTAATTACTTATTAAAGAATATATCAATTGTTTTCAAACTACAGAAAGAATAATTTAAAAAATATTCTTTAATTTGGATATTTTAAACACTCACTTTATCTTTTAATATATACATTGTTTTATAAATCTTGTTTAATGAAATTGATGAAGAGTAATCGTTTTAGCAGGAAGCATTTCCGCTGGCTTTAAGTTTAACTTCGTTTTTTACTTTTTCCTTTGTTTTCCTAAAACAGTACAAAATATTGAATCATTAATATATATATATACACACACACACACATATACATGCATTATATATATTAATAATATTGGTATATTTATTGAATGTTCAATTAATTATTAGTAAAAATAATGTAAATAAATTTAATTTACAGAATTTTTCTACTTTATAAGATTTTTTACCTTAGACCATTCCATTTTTAGTTGTTTCAGTATATGTGGTGTTAAAAGACCTTGATTTATCAGTTTCATACTTAATTTTTTGTTTTCATACTCATCTGTAAAATATGAAGTATAATTATATAGAAATATAAAAAATGAACAGTGTCTTTAATATCGGATAAATTACCATCTTGTGTGTTAATTTTTTCGTGAGATGGTGCAATGAAATCTGTTTAATAATATAAAATATTATTATTTGAATTATCCTTGTTTTTATAAACAATAAATATCATGCTTTAATAGTATTATATACCTTGTTCTGTGCTTTTAAATTGTCTTATTAAGTTTTTAACTCCTGAATCGATAATTTCATCCAACTGAAGTTGTAGCTGCCTAACTTCATCTCCATGAGGAAACAAATCTGGCATACGATAACTATATCAAATGCAAATATTATAATTTACATTATGTAATGCAGTATGTAAGGAATAGAACTATTAAGTAATTATTTACCTTAACCAAAGATAGATATCTAATATGTCAAATAAATGTTCCAAATTTAAAAGTCCATTAAGTGTTCCTGGCGTCCGAGGAGGCCAGTTAATTTCGCTGCATAACCACGAAATAGTTGCTGGCTCATTCATACTACATCGTCGAGCGAACTATTTAAACAGAGTATAAAGCTTTAAACAATTTTTTAAACAATTGATTATAATTTCAATTTACCTTCAAGAACATATTACATGTTATAGCTATTTTTCTGTTGATTGGCGCACAACAAAATATGTATCGTGTACGAAGAGATAAAGACATATGTTGTATCATATCAGCAAGAAATTTAAAATCATCTAAATTACAAATAAAATATAAAGAATTGTCAAACTGGCACAACTTTATGAAAATATCCTGAAAGAAAAATATATTTTTAAAAAACGCAAAAAAGAATCACAAGTTAATTATACTCAAATATTACAATGATATTTGATAATGTTGCAGTTGGTAAATAATAGCCATATAATTCTATTTGATCTGCTGTTGGATGAAGCCCAGCTACTGTAAGTTCTTCAGGCGTTTGTTCTAATAAATTTTTTAGTAAAGCAAAATCTTCAATTTTGTAAGTTGTTACATATCCCTGTAGTATAAAAAAATTATTAATATTCATTTCACATGCCATTACTATGATTTTATGTTTATTTATATTTGATTATTTATTACTTTCGACCACTGTGTTCCATAACGACCAGCGCGACCTGCTATTTGTAATGCAGTTGATACAGAAATCACATCAGATTCCATTTGTCCTTTATCATTTACAGATAGTGTAGTAAGAGAATAAAATATAATTCTACGAATATGTCTGAAAAAATATTAACATGTTTTTCATTCTCATTATATTATATGAAAAAATTGAAATTCATAATTATGAACTTACAAATTAAGACCCATTCCTATAGCATTAGTAGCTACTAATATTTTACAAGGATCTTTAGGATCATTAAATCTTGCAGCTTGAGCTAATTTTGTGCCTGGTGGTAAACTACCATATATTACAGCTACTTTATGCCCCAATTTTTCAATAGCTTGTGACACAGAGAATACCTCGCCTCTACTAAAACAAACTATACAATCTCCTGGTAGAACCCTATGTAAAGAACAAAGTGCAGAATCTTCCATTTTAAGCTCAGTTAGTCTTTGATATTGTTTTACTTCTACAACTTCACCTGTTGTAAGGCATATAGACTGTACCTATATTGTAACACACATTAGAAAAAGTTTAAAAAATTTTTTATATTTATATGTGATTCATAAAATAAGACTGTAAAACTCACAATAGATAAAGCACCATATTCACCACATATATGTATTTCATTTGCAACAAGACCAAGAAGAGCTCTTGTCCATGCCCATCCTCTAATCGGATCACGTAGTAATTGAATTTCATCAATTACAGCTACATCATCTATAATAATTATTAAAAATATTATTCTATATAAAATTATATAAGGGAGCCAAAAAAATATAAGATGATAATATTACATACATTAAAGATCATACATTGTATTTACTTACAAGAATTGTCTAGGTTTGCCATTTCTATGGAACATGATATATGATCTGCAGGAGACAATATATTTTTGGCATATTTGTGTTCTTCTCCTGTTATCAAATCACAAGGTGTACCCTAAAATTACTTATACTCAATGTAATCAAAATTATTTATGCTAAATATAATTAAATGGTAACTTAATCTTTGTACTAACCATAGAGTTACACTTAGTAAAAACTTCACTAGCTAATAACCTTAATGGTCCACAATAAATACCACTTTTTGCGGATATAAACCTTTGCAAGGCTTGGTATGTTTTGCCACTATTTGTAGGACCAGCATGAAATATGATTTTTCTTTTCACAGATCTAGCTTTAGAATACCTAATAATAATAATGGCTAAAATTGTTTAATTTGTTCCTCAGATGTACATAATTTATTCAAATTTTAATGATTTGCATTAAGTAATTACCAATGAGATGGATTTGTTAAATCACTGATTTTCTTCAGTTCATTTATATAATCAATATGTGGATACATTTGTTTTATATGGCGCATAAAATATGGAATTAAATCTGTAACATGTCCTGCACCTTGTATAATATCATTTAAAGTAATATAAAGATCTGTAGATAACGTAGTAGCTTCTATACAACATTTGCGAAAACTTGTCATACATGAAATAAAAGTCCTGTCTAAAAAAAATTAGATAACTAAGGAAAACATAAATTTTACATAACCTTTATCCGTTGGTGTAAGTTATATAGAAAATACAAATTACCATCTAGTCCATGTTGGTCACATAGTTGTTTCACTGCATTGTTAATTGAAAAATTATACATGGTCTGCAAAACTTTAGATTTATCCAGAGCACCAGTTAATTCCAAACCAATATTTAAATTATTTGAATTTTTTTTTAAAGTAACTGGCTTAACTAAAGAATTTATAGTTCCTAGAGTATTATCAGTTTGTTTTCCTCTTATACTTTGAGTAAACTTCACTCTAGAATTTACGATCCTAAAAATAAAATTTATAAGATACGCTAATATAACTGCTTTATAATTTTCCACAATTATAACAATTATAACAATTTAATATATAATAAAGTAATAATCACCTTAAAAATGACGATAACATAAAATTACTCCTTTGTTTTAGTTGCTTTGTAGCAAAATACGTAATTAGTATCATTTTTTAAATTAGTTTTGTTTAATTTCATATTCTAGAATTTATAACGTAAGAAACCTAAACCACATGTACTGAAATAAAAGATTGAAATAGGTGGCGACACCTTTGTCATTGAAATAGGACAGCAAATGTACTTACATATATAAAGGACAAATTGCGACTATATTTTTGACTATGCTTTATTAATAGTGTTAATTTACGTTACTTGTCTTTAAAAGTTATATATTATATCCTTTTCCTATAACTGCGGCAATGAAAATACAGACGTAACATGAATTGAAAAAGCAGGTAATTTTTTTCACTTAGAATGAGAGCACGAATTCGATAAGATTGAAATTTATTTTTGTGTAATTAAAATATGCAAACATAGCTAAAATATCAATTTCTTCAAAAGATTTAATTTTTTATATCTTTAAAATTAATTGAATTAATCGAATTAATCGAATCATATTTTTTATCATTAGAGTAGTTACTGAAATTAATGATTTATTATGTATTTGCTAAAAACATAAACTTCATTTAATAATTTAAACGTAACCTTTTGTATTTTTACTAATGTACAAAATTATACCTATCGTTTTTTTACAGGATTTCTTGACTGAAAGATTTTATTTCTTTCATGTAGTTATAAAAACTGTATTTAGTATATAACAGTTGTTGTACCTCATATATTCTTTTTTACTTTCTAAAATCAAATTCTTCTATTTTCATACTATATTTCAACAAAGCCTGAATTCCACAAAGTAATTTTCTCCATATAAAGTTCTTTAATTTTTACCTATTTGAAGCTCTTATATTAATGTACTCTGGGATATTGTGATACCATTAAAAAATTTGTAGCATAAAATTTAGGACAAAAGTTCCATTTCATATTATATTCAATTACACATATTATTACATTACATTTTTATCTTAAGTTAAGTAAAATATTATAACAAATATTATAAATTCGCATCTTTCAATAGTTTTAATAATTATCATATTCTTCTAAACGTAATTTTTATAAATATCGTTATTACTTGCAATACATATTAATTATTTTCAAATTTTTCAAACTTTATATTATTTTAAATCAAGCATTCTTTCTTTTGTTTCTTTGTATCATCAATTATTTGTTATTCAGATAAAATATTAATTTGGGAAGGTTAACTCCCTCACAAAATTAATCTGTTCTTTGTAAATTATCTGTAGTGTTACAGCAAACTTTAAATATAAAAAATATGCGTAAGTCAGAACATTAAATATTTATTACATTTTTAGTACAACTTTGGATAGATAGAAGAAATAAAATTATTTCAGATCAAACAAGTACAATGTGTAATATAAAATTATGCTCGAATAATGATGTACCACCTTCGTCAGTAGTTCGCGCCTGTCTTGGACCGTCTTTGGCACAGGTGTTTTTTGACTATACACATCACGATACGATAAAACTGTTGGATGTGCTGACATCATTAAAAACATCAAAAACATGTTTCTCAATTCCATCCGACGATCCTTTACCCAAAAGTAAATTCGTACCACCGACAGATTATCAAATCATAAAAGCACTCGTACATCAAAATATATTAGGTAACGTTACAAAAGTATTAAACTTATTATATTTGACTATAAATTTTAAATAACACCGCTAGAAATCGGCGGAGCACTCTTGGAAGGTGTGAAGAAGCAAATCGAAGAGAGTCTGAAAGAAAAAGTAGAAAAGCAATCACGAGAAAAGTTTTATTTGTATCAAGCAAAGAAAAGGCGTGAAAACCAGTTATACGCTCAACAATTGCACGAAAAATACAACAATTATATTGAAACTGTTCGACACGAACTACAGAAACAGCTTGAAGTAACGATCATTATATTAGTACAAATAACTATTTATCCCTTTATATATAGATCACATCTTATTTTTATTTGAAATAATACTCTAAAAACGCTGTCAAACAAAATTTTTGTTTGCTTGCCTTGATAAGCTGATAATGTTTTTATTGCATACAGAAGCAATCAAGTTCATAATCTTACATTAAGCAATATCGAAGGAATTCGAGAGTGTATATTTATAGATAAAAATTATGTATGCGAGGAACATGGCAAAATTCATTGCAAATGATTATTTCTTTGAAATTACCTTTGTTCAAAATTAGATTAGCTTATATAACGATATTCTACCGGAAACGTTTAGTATATAATTGCATAACTTTAAATTACTTTACAATTGCTTTGCACGAGAATCATTGAGTGCTTCTTTATCTAACTGGAATAATATTTTGTACCTCGTGAAAGGAGAAAATATGATATATTTTATCTGAAAAAAAAAAGAAAAGAATTGAAATTGTAATTATTTTAAATACCGAGAAAATAAGAGTATTGCATTCTGTAGACAAAAATATCATTGACTTATCACTTTGTTTAAATAATATTTACATGTCCTTAGACTCGTCATGAAAATTAATTTGCATAAAAATTAGAAACAAAACATCGAATGGTATGTTAGAAAAAGATATATTGGTGGTGAATAATGCAGCCCTCTTCAAGGTTGTACAAATCTGTGACAGACAAAAATGATTTTACTGTTTAGAAAGAATGGTCCACGGCAGCCGAAGAATGTGCGAAAAACACTCAAAAAGCAGTTGTGCAAGAACGAATAAACGTGACCCACGAAATGATGCGAAAGATGCGTGCAGAAATGACTCACGTTGTGCAATCGCTGTATAAGGAATTTGAAGAATTATTTTGCGCGAAAAGGAATAACATAATTGCAGATTTCAATCAAATTATGAGGTTTATATCTGCGTGTTCGTTGATAATACTTATAATTAACCTGAATGAAAATTTGTACAGGGAGAAGCATGTAAAATTGAAAAAAGAAATGCAAGACTTCAAGGAAAAAGTGAACAAAGATTTGTATATCCAGAGGCGTCAGTTTGAAATGCAGAACACCGCAGATATAATTTATACCCTCTGTTTGGAACGGTTACGAAATAACAGGGAGAAGCATACTATGCATAAATACTTTGAGGTAACGAAGTTATTCGAATTTCGTTAGTTAGACACAAAGATATATTTCATACAAAATTATACATTAATATAGCAACAAATCAACGAATTTTATGAATTAATGGGCCGATTGAAAGACGTAATTATCATCATGCGGAAAGAAATTGTTAATTGTCATGCAGAGAAGATATTTTTAGAGGAAGAATTGTGTAAAGTTATTAAACAATTTCAAAAGTTTATTGATTATGTTTTTCATGCTATGCCGGGACAAGCAGATTATTTGTTACCATTAGAGTTACAACAACAGATTAGTTCAAAAAAGAATAAAGAAGAAAAAAATGAAGAAGTAAAAAAAAACGGTAGAATGACGAAAACATTACGAAATTATTATTATTAAACGTGCTTATAGGATACCTTGCACCGTTTAAATCTCGTTGAATGCAAAGTACCGTTAATTACATTATACGTATTCTGTTTCTTAAAAATAAAAGATGCAAATTTAGAAGATAAACTAAAACAAAAGGATAATAAATATTAAATGTTTGATAGAATAATTATAAACTTATTACATAATATTGAGAAGAAATACTAAATTTTTACAATGCTCATATTTTTATATAGAAAATCTTTATACGATATCAACGGAAGAAAATTGTTTATCACTTATAAAAACTAGTACTTAAAAAGTAAATAGCAAAATAAAAATTAACGAATTTTACATTAGATCATAAATAACGATATTCATTTACAAGATTTTGAAATAAAAATATACCTGATTCATTTTCCGCCTAAAAGAGTACTAATTCATTTCATCGTCACATATAAATATTATCCTTCTCGAAGGACGGTACCATTCTGGATCTCTTTGCAGACTCGATATACTTGGATGATAAAATTCACGCATCATAACAGATGTTTGCTCAAATTTACTGCGTGAAATAGGTGCATGATCTTTTAGACGCCATCCATATATCCAATTCGTGCAATCCGGATAGTAATAACGATTTTCTGGAACGTCTTTTAATCTAAAGTAATTAATGAGAATATTGCTATAAAATGTCATTCTTATCTATAGTTTTCAGTAGAAAAAGTTGAAATTGAAATAAATACTATATGAATACTGAAAGAAAGAAATGTAACATCAACCTTTTTTTATTCGGACAATATACTTAAATAATTATTTTGTTTTTACTATATTTACAAGAAATTGGTATTATATGTAAAACCTTTCATAAATATAATTTTCAGCCGTGATAAAACTTGGAGCGTCTTCGTACAGAATGGCTCTTACTTGCGGGTCGATGGGTTTCATTATGTTCATATTGATAGAGCCATCGGGTTCAAGTGGTCTCCAATTTGGTAAGCATTTCAAATGCATCTGAAAAACAGAAAATCTTGCCCAATTTTCACTATACAACAAACACGAATAATCTATTATATATAGTGTAGTTACGTACGATGTCCATACTTGCTTGTTTTCCTGGTTCATATTTTGGCGGCAATTTTATTTTTTCCGTTTTTCCCAAATGATCTAATAATTTTTGTTGATTCTTCAAAAACCATCTAATACGAGTATTTTCTTCTTTTTGTATCATTGCAGTGTGAAATGCTTGACAACGAGTATCACAAATTCCTCTAGTTGACATGATTTAGTTTTATTATGTACTTAATAGTTTATATAGAATCGTAACCAAAATATGAATATAAGCCAATTGATTTAAGTGAAAACTACATTTATAAAGAATTTTTAACATATCATGACTCTGAAATAAGATTACATTTTACTGTGATGCTCTAATGTTTCATTAATGCAATAGGCAAAAAAGATATTTTCTTGACCTTTTTCATATTTTATACAATTATTTTATTTACATCATTCTTACATGTAATACGTTTTACAGCATACCATTCAATTACTTTTTAGTGGGCTAACATTATATACTTATGCAATAATATCAGAGCATTGTTTTACACATATATAAATTGATACAAAAAAAGAAAAGAAAAAAAAAGGAGTAAATTTAACAGACAAAAGATGTTATATTACGAACATTAACATAAAAGAAAAAAAAAAAAGAAAAGAAAAGAAAAATGATTCAACCATTAATTTTTCAGGTTGATAAAAATCGATTGATCATCGTGAATTCTGCAAACGTATGTAAAATCAAATTTTGGAGATAATAACAAAAACTGGGCGGCTGACATTACTTTTTACTCTATTCAAAGTGAGTATTTATTTAAACAATTAAAGAGAATATACAATTAAATTTTGCGCGATAATTAAATTTGAAAGATGTGACTGTAAATGCAAAATGTACATTTATTAAATATCGGACACCATATAAACATATGTTATTTATTCGGAACGTTAGCATTTTATACATATAACACGTATATGTATATTTATGTGCATAGGTTAATTTACCTATCAAATTTTATTACAAATTTTTTCTTTTTATTATAAATCATATCTTTACATCATAAAAATAATTTAAATATTTTGTCTTTTTTTTTTGTTTTTTGAAAAAAAGATTTTACTTAAAATATTTATAAAAAGAGTATACGTTTTTACACGCAAAAGAATTAGTGATATATTTTGCGACGTCAAATAATGATATACCGGTAACGATGAAGAATAATAAATAAATAAATATGGCGTGAAGTATGAGTTTTCATGTGATATTACTCCCTCTTAAAGTCAACATCAAATGACCCAGTAATCACAGCCATAGGAAGCAATATTGTGATACATTATAACTTTTGGATGCATTGTCATTTATATTACAAGCTGACTAAGGAGCAATTCTTAATTTGTACTTGTTTAATCAAGCGAATTGTACTTGTTGCACAATAACATTGCCGTTTTCTGTATTTCTAACTTATTCCTTCATACTGTACATACTCACATAATATTAACTTATCTACACTGTTCTACAAGCTAGTCTATAGTTTTCTATACCTTTTTACGCAAGACTTATCTAACATTTCATTAACATATGAGTAAATTAAAAATTTTCAAATTAAATTTCAAATTCGACTTGATTATGTTACATACACTTTTTCACTGATCATTTTTTTCATGCATCTTGCTGTCTTCCTTTTAAGTTAAGAATATGATACAATATTAAATATGCTATTTAATCTAATTAACTATTCAAGTGGAGAATACTTAAAATTAATGTTACTAAAAAATTTCTGCTTATATTATCATTTGTTTATAACTCAAACAATATTACTGTGCGGTATTTAAGTGAAATATTTTCAACAGTTTTCTTCTATATAAAATATGTGTATATTCTTTTGGTTCAAAATTACATATAGTTCACTTTGATAGATGATTATTGTAACATTTCAATTTTTTTTATACATCATGTACTTTGTAGGACACTGGAAATACATTTACGCAAATAAACCATAACATAAATTATTTCATAACAAGAGTATACAAACTATTTCATAAATACATTGAACATAATATACATATAATTTACCGCTATATTTGTTGCTTATTGCATTTATAAAATAATTTTTTTTTCTAATTATTATAATAAATATTACTCCATATGAACAGTACTGCAGATGATAACACATTTAATTATTTTTGTATATCAGACAGCAGTCACCTATACTAATATTAATATTTTATCTGTGAAGTAATATTACTAATTAATAATTTCGTTTTGTTAGTTTTTCAAAATTATACGTCATTATTTATTTTGTTCAATAAAATATGATTTTAATATGATTTTAATGATGTGAAATATGATTTTATAGTATTAAGAAAAACAACTGATTTTGTTATACACAATTCTTTGCTTTATATTTTCTATCAGTTAATGTCCTAATTGATTAAAAACCTTGTTTGTAGATTACTACTTGTTCTTTAACATATTAAAAAATACAGTCATCATATTGTAGTTGGTTTACATTATTTAAAACTGTCATATGCTAAGAAGTAACTTAAGAAATTTTCTTAATACGTTTTTTTCATTCTGTTGAGTTCGTGTCCTGCACTTAGCTCAAAATGGATTTTCGATTGTATATATATTCATTTGTTATGAATTATTATACACATATAATAATGCTGTAGTAACAGATGAATCAACGACATATCATTGATAAACTTTCTAAATATGAAAAAACGGATACTTTGCTCACCATTCGATAGTTCTTTAATGCAATTTAAATGGTGTGAATAAAGGATTCAAAAATACCTAACTTGTAGTCACATCAAGTAATATTGAAGTTGGAGCATTTTGGTTAAGATATACACTCACATCTTGAACATGACTAGTCCTAGTAGAAGAACCTTGGTTATGATTTATTCCACTTGAAAAATCAGTTTCAATTTCTAATCCACGATATCCATCATCTTGTTTTTCATGAAGTATATATTTAAAAAACTCATACCTATATAAATAATAAATATATTATTAAAATACTTATCACATTAATTTTTTTGTTATTATTTACTGTAAATTTATTAACGTATTATTAATATATTTTCTTTTTTTTTTTAAATAGTATTAAATACTATTATTATTGTATCTTATTTACTTACGTTGACCAACAGATAGTGGTTGCAGGCATTTGATAAAGAACACGAGCATTTAGTCCACGAAAATAACCACGTAAACCACCGTATCTATAAACTGTTTTAAAAGCATCTATCATGCCTTGAGTCTGCACACCACTTTGTGTATTTAGAAGTGTTTTACAAACATCTAAAGGCGTTGTGACTGCAGCAGCAATAGCTCCTGCTAATGCACCTATAATTTATATATTTTCTTTCTATAGTTCTACTATATAAGTAAGATTTAAAATATATAATATAGAATATTTTCTTCTAAAAGATATATACACACCTGATATCATATGTGCTATAGGATTATAAATGTGATCAGGGTTCGTAAAAACTTGTGCAATTTCATAAGTAATAAAATGAATCATCTGGAAAGGCACATTCATAGTCAATTGTGTCGTGTAACTTCTATAGAATGCGTATACACCTTCATTTTTATATATATTTCTTATACATGTTGCAACATTTCGATAAGGAGAGTTATACATTTGCAACCGCTGTTTGACCACTGGAATAAGATAATTTTATTCTTCATTGGATAAAATTCTAAAAATTATGAACCATATTTAGCTCTTTGTTTCAAAAAAAAAAATAGAAGGAATCATGCTTTCCATACTTTAAAACACATACATATGTGTAACAGATAAATTATATAATAAATGAATAATTCATTTACTTTTGTTAATAAATTTAAAATGTTTTACCTTCTGCTGGATTCATTATACCATCATGCAGTAGTGTTGCCACACAACCGGCAGTTCCATATACAGCTACATTTAATTCGGGATGTGTTCTTGAACTTAAGAGTCTATTTTTAACAAATTCATAACATGAAAAATATAATGCATGTGCTGGACCAGCTCCTACAACCACTGCAGTTATACCACGAATTGGTCTCAAGAAACCTTCTTGTTGTATCATTTTTCTCAAAACTGTTCTTACTCCACCACCTCCAGTTGAAGACGGTGTTAATGCTTGCATTCTTGTCTAAATATAAATAAAATAAAAAATACATCCATATAAATAAATAACACTTATTTGTTAATTAAATTTTGTTATATTCTTTAGAAGTAAATGTTATTTCACATAAATAATTTAAAATATTAATTACATGTGAACATATAAGAAAGAATTTTAGAATAAAATAACACAAATAATTAAAAAAATTCAAACTTCATAATTATTTTAATATTTTAAAATGATTACTTGATAATGAAAAAGAATATAAATGTACTAAAATAGTCTTAAAACCATGACTTGCAATTATTTACAGATACAATCATTTTTAACTAATTGCATTTTAATTATTATATGTAAGCCACTAAAAACATGAAATTAGAATAATAAATGCAATGATGAACATGATAATATTTTATAATTGATATAAAAGGTAAAGAACAGTTCAGTTAAAATTTCATTTTTGTAATATATTATTCATATTATATAAATTTTCATGTATATTTATATGTTTTAATTTACATTACATTTACATTACATTGTAATTGTATTTTTTAACAATTAGATGTAAAAGTAACTACTAATATAGATTGTAGGTTGAAAAGAAAACCAGAAATAGAACCTACTGCAACAGTGCTAAGAAATATGTTATATAATAAATGTTTGAAACTCATGTTCTATTTAATTATTTTGTGTTAAAGTTTTTAGACTGTCAATATTTTGCAGTATTATCAAAATATAAATATAATCTTTTATTGTTTATATACATTTGATCATTTAACATTTAATAAAATACCTTTATGTATATATATTATAACATCATATATAAATTAGATACTGCAGTTGTTTATATTATAATACATAAATAAATAAAATTTTGTAAAATATGTACTTAAAAGCAAGTTTGTAAATGATAAAAAAGTATTGAATCATACATTTTAATGATAAAAAGGGATCATGAAAAAATAATGTTTATATATTTATAAATTAATTAAAAACAATTAAGTAGAGAGTAGAGAGTTTATTTTTTATTACACAAAATCTGTTTTATTTATCACTATTAGTTAACATAATTTCATTATTATTTAATTATGTAAATAGCTAAAGTTACAGTAGCAGCAATGTTTTGTAATATAATAATAAATTATACATTTGCCAGTTTAATAAGTATTGAAAAATAGTAAACAACTATTACAGAACATTATTGCTAAATCATGTGATGACTAATTCAGTCGTTTGTAAATTCTAAGAATTGGTACCTGGAAACAATTATGAAATTATCTTGCTTAAACTGATTGCACAATAATTTTGTAACTGTGATGTAAAGCACGAAATTTTATGATCAAATGTTAATATCTTACGAAGACTAATTATAGTTACCTTAAAATTTTAAGTATTTCGCTATTTAAGATTACAACTATCATATACGCGAACCCTAATTTCTAGGTTCCGACGAGGAAAAAAATTAAATTCAAAGAATTGTCTTCGAATATCACATTTATTACTATTCAAAAACCGTGCAATTTGCAATGTCATGGTATCAAATGTCATTGAATTTTATTAGAATGCGGCGGAAATTAAATTCCATGAGACGGTAGTTGAGGTTATGTAAAATACCTTAGAAAAAATGTGCGAGAAATAAAGCTATTACCTTAACACTGTCAAGTGGATACATCACACAATGTTCCATAATTCCGGCGAATGCACCTGCTGTCATGTGCACAGCCACAGAAGACGTAGGCAAAGTCTCATAAACTTCCGCATTCATATTTTCTGAAGATGTTTAACGCAATTTCCAGTTCACGGCTTTAAAACGCCGCAATTTCTGTATGCACTCTTTTGAAGCAGACAACACGCTTTTGGCAATAATTGATGCCAAATTACTGTTTATGTAGCAACATTTGCTTCGTAATCGTCGAAACATTCATTCAAAAGGTTATAAAAATAATATTCGTTTTCTCGAAATAATGAAATGTAATCGTACTCGTTGATCGTATCTTAATGGAACCGTATTGAAATTGAAAAGGCTGCTACCCCCGATAAGTAAATTTACAATGTATAGTCCCCTCCAGGTATTTGTGCCGCAAACAAATTATATTTGCTTACACTACTTTCTTGAAATACAGGGACACATGGCATTTACGTCTGATTGTTTATTCGAATCGTTACGGAACTCGATACATACTGGCATTCTTCGCGATACGGTTACGGATCGTCATACATTCATTCAATGAGGTTAGGTTCACGCGCACGTGTTACGCATGCGTCATATTCAACCACGTGGTTGGTGCGTGTAGTATGTACGCAGCAGTAGTGAGCTTAATAAGTAGTCTGATCACTGTACAAGCATTCTATGCATGTATAGTACGGTATATAGTTTGAATGATATAGAGTGCTCGTAAAATCAATTGAGCCTAAAAGTACAAGTGTTTCGACTTCTGAAACAGTAATATGAGATATTTATATGTAGAAATAAAGCATTCCAGAATCAGTACTATACGATATCAATTTGAAATGAGTTTTTCCATTTTTAAGCATTGTTGACAATGATTTACGAAAGGTTAAAGTTTTTTTTTAATGTTTGAAATATTAAACGGAATTTAATGGGAGTACATTGCTAACAAGTAGTAATAAATAAAATAAATTGAAATTCAAAATTGAGCAACAATTTTTTTCGTTTTATTACTTAATGTTAAATACCTACAGATAAAAATTGCAGCCGTTCCTGAGTGTCGACGACTTCAATAGTGTCATTTCGGCATCAATTGAAGATCATTGAATCTTTCAATGTAATTGCAAAAATTAAAAGCTTTTCCTGCTTCTTTAAGTTGATAAAACCTTTATCTTTAAGTCGATAAAAGTTATCTCAAATGTTTATCATTTAAGCTTACTGCACCTGATAACGATTCCTCAACCTTCTCTGTTAATTTTAAAATGTAATTAACGTGCAAATCGTCAAATATATATGCAAAGAAGCTTTTTTTGTCAATGTTAAATAAAAAAGAATTTATTTAACATTTATTAGTTGCATATTAAATTACTACATATTTAAAATAAAAATGATATTTTATGTAATTAGAGTTAAATTTGATACTAATCGTATTTACTTACTTTTCTTCATTTAATATGAAGAAATCTATTACATAGTACAGGTAAATTATCACTGTTATTGAAAAATGCTGTTTGATTTGGATTTCATGCTTTATAAAATTCTATAGAGGATTCCACAACAATCTAGACAATGCACGTGTTTTAAAAACGTGATTGCGTTACGTAGCGTATGACAAACTGTTCACATATTGTTCTATTTATAGAAAATATCGTGATTGCGAGCTATCGTATACACATTGTGAAGCTTTTCCAAGATGATTTAATCGAACAAGTTATATTGAATTGTTTTTTTTTTATATCTGTAAAGATACAATTTATGACATAATGGTTTGAATAATACATAAGGGTCTTTGCTCGTATTGCATATGGATTACATGGAGCCGATTAAACGACAAGGTCGACCGATATTCTTCCTCATGAATTGAAAGAAAACATGATGATTTGACAAATATAATTGCAACTTCTAACATATAACTTGATGAATTATTTAATCATTAATTTCATATATCGGGTATATTTCATATGTTCTTTATGGTTAAACATTCCATAATATTATCGGTATATGCACGTGTATATATGTAATTTCATATCATTGTCATTATTTACAATGTTTATCAGATAATATTCTTTAAATGTATTGTTTACTAATTTTAATTCAGGAAATTTCTGTTGAAACATGATTGAAATATACGGAATAATGACTACACCATATATGTACTATGACTTCTTGCTTAATTATCTAAAATTAAAGGAAGGATTTAAATATTTATGGACCGTTTAACATGTATACAAAATGTCGCTTTATTTTAAAGCAATTATAGTAGTAATAGGTTTTATAAATTGTTAGTTATTATATTACATATGGCAATAAATATTTTAAAAAGTTGGAAAAAATATTCTACAGTATTTTCACAGTAATAAAGTGTAATGTACTTTTGTTTTATATACATATTTATACAAACTTATGCATGTACAGAATAAAGAACACGCTTATTAATAAATGTAACATTCTTTGTAAAAATTTAACATTATGATTTTTAAGTTTTGGGTGAAAAGTGTGATGCTATGCAATGGATGATTCCTTTGCATTGCAATTTTTTGATGTTTTTATTCTATATTAACAAAAAAAAACCTGAAAACTATTGTTTATTTTTTTTGACATCACAGTGCAGTTGATCTCAATTTCTACCACCCTTGTCAAACATAAGTGCAAAAAATTTATTAGTAGAATATATCACGCAATATAAACTATATTATTATTTCTAGGAATCATACATTATCAGTGTGTAAGGAAATTGTCCAGAAGCTGTAACAATTCCTTCCCTTTTAATTTCATCAAGATTACAATATTCTTATGCACATTTTTTATCAACATATAAACTTTGATAAATAATAGCTTAAAAGAAAATTACATTTATGTAAAATTCTTGTAATTATATATAAAACTTACATTTTGAGTAATGTATTTGTGTCAAATAATGTATATATGATAATTATTTAACTTGTAATCTTATTAATATATTCTGTACTTTTGCAATGTACATATATATTAATGAAAATTGCACACTATTAATTGCAGTTTTGTGTATTTTTTATAAGAAGTTGAGCTTTATACAAAAATTTTAATATAAGCAATATGAAAAAATATTAACTATCCCACATTCTTTCTCTTTTTTTATAAATAAAGACTACTTAAGTATATAGTACTCAATATACTTAATAAGTAACTTAAACATACATTATTCACAAAAATTTATACATGTCCTTCCTTGAAAAAATAAAATTTTACAGTGAATTTTAATGAAATTTAATAACTATACAATTTAATTTAATACATGTACATACTTCACATTTTGTTCACTTTTTTTGAAATTTTTGAAGTACTGTATGCTTTATTGTTTCTGAAATAAGTATCTTTAAAAAATGCATATTTTTATTTAAAAATAGTTTTCAAGTGTGTATTTTGTTAATACTGCATTCGATTGAATATTTCTACATATTACTCAATTACTTACTCAAATTATAACATCACCTAAGAATTCTTTAAAAATATATTTAGTATTTATTCTAGTTAAATGCAATGCCAATTTATTTTTAAAAATTTATGGTAAATTAAAAAGTCATCAATCTATACAAAACTTACACTGTGCTAATGCAATATATATTTAAAAAAATGTTAAATATATTAATTGGAAAATAAATTTTTAGAATAAATTTTAAAGATACTATATGCGTAATATTTTACAGATTTTTTCTTGGTCACATCAGTATTTTATATTATTTAAAGTTTAAAAATATCTGATTTAAATATAATGTAGAATGTGTTACTAGAATCAACAACTAGGACTTCTTTTTTGTATTATATAAAGTAAAACAATTCAACACCTGAAACTACAGATTACTAGCTATACCTGATTAGATCTCCTACTTCTGCGAGAAGAACTTGAAAATAATGGACGTGGTTTGTATAAGTCATCACTTGAATAACGCTGACTGCTTCTATGCCGGCTGTAATTATATAATAAACTAGTTATGGTATGAATAGTGAAGATGTATTAACCCTTTGAATACTGAATACTTGTGGCCTATACGGTCCGTACGGACGGCGCGCGGCTAGCGCTGACGATCGCTGCGGACGGAATACTTTTTCGCTAGACTGTACTCTGTTGATTAACTATTCAAGGCGCAAATAGTAATAAGTTATAGACATTGACGAGACATTGTTTGTATTTGTTTACTGCTGTTACTGAGGAATGCATCTGTATTTATCTCACACAAAAGTAATTGTAATATTTCTATGCAGGTGATCGAAAAAATTGACAAACGCATATATGCGCCTTCAGTCCATGCCGGCAATTTAAACTAAACGCATATATGCGTCTATAGTCCACACCGATAGCTTTCGCCAGACGCATATATGCATCCATAGCGCTCAAAGGGTTAATATTTTAAACAGAGTATTTTAATGTTACAAAAAATATGTAGATTCAATTTTTTACATTATATATTTTATATAGCTTGTTGATTTTTGATATATCAATAACTTCTGGGTAACTTGACAAGTTTTTTCATAAATAGGAACCTTAAAAAAAATTTTTAATAAATATAAGCATAATATTTTTAATTTGTTACATGTATTTGCAAAAATAAAAAATTTGTTTAAAAGTTACAAAAAATTTCTGATTAAAACATTTTATCCTACAGTAAAGAATAATAGAAGAAATAAGTACTTAAAAAAAATAAAAAAAAATAAAAGAAATAAATAATTGTTCAACATACCTTTTATCTTCTTTAATTAGATTTGAAGAAGGTATTTTTTCACTGGTTGCAGATACATCACTCTCAGGACTCAAAGGCATTACAAAATTTTCTCCATTTAAAAGTCCTTGTGGAGCACATATATTTGCTTGAAGTCTTTGTTTTTTAGGTATTAATTTTCTTTTTTTTATATTATTTAATGCTTCTTCATTAGATAAATTCAGTACTTTTTTATGACCATCGTTGTTATTATTTGAATTATTTAATAATATATCTGTTAATGGGCTAGATGAGTGTTTCCGTTTTGGTAAAGGTGGTGCCATAGCTTTTGGCATTGAAGAGACAACTTGTCCTCCTAAACTCTCTATTATGTCTTCTAAAGAACTATTTTTTACTAATTCCAGTGATTCTAAGAAATTAGAGAATTTCTCCGATTTTTCATTATCGGCTTTAAAGTAACGACAATATTCATTATCTTCAGTTTCCATTGATGTGGATTCTATTGCCTGCAGTTCCTCTTTAACTTTTATAATGCAGTCTCCATCAGTTACATATCTATTTAAATTGGAAAGACTCTTATTTTGAGCATTCTGAGAAACATCTTCATTTATAAATTTTGATGTTGTAGGTATTTCTATACTTCTATTATTATTTGAACAAGTTACATCTTCTGTACTTGTACTACTTGACATTAGGTGTTCCTTTTTTTCATTTATGTCTGTTTTATTGGTATTAACACTAAAATAGTTACTTGATTCTTGAAATGTTATATATTCTTCTAATTTAGATGTACTAGTTTCTTGCTGTGTTTCTTTTTTAGAACATGTTTCCATAGAATCATTAATTTATATTTTAAACAGAGTATTTTAATGTTACAAAAAATATGTAGATTCAATTTTTTACATTATATATTTTATATAGCTTGTTGATTTTTGATATATCAATAACTTCTGGGTAACTTGACAAGTTTTTTCATAAATAGGAACCTTAAAAAAAATTTTTAATAAATATAAGCATAATATTTTTAATTTGTTACATGTATTTGCAAAAATAAAAAATTTGTTTAAAAGTTACAAAAAATTTCTGATTAAAACATTTTATCCTACAGTAAAGAATAATAGAAGAAATAAGTACTTAAAAAAAATAAAAAAAAATAAAAGAAATAAATAATTGTTCAACATACCTTTTATCTTCTTTAATTAGATTTGAAGAAGGTATTTTTTCACTGGTTGCAGATACATCACTCTCAGGACTCAAAGGCATTACAAAATTTTCTCCATTTAAAAGTCCTTGTGGAGCACATATATTTGCTTGAAGTCTTTGTTTTTTAGGTATTAATTTTCTTTTTTTTATATTATTTAATGCTTCTTCATTAGATAAATTCAGTACTTTTTTATGACCATCGTTGTTATTATTTGAATTATTTAATAATATATCTGTTAATGGGCTAGATGAGTGTTTCCGTTTTGGTAAAGGTGGTGCCATAGCTTTTGGCATTGAAGAGACAACTTGTCCTCCTAAACTCTCTATTATGTCTTCTAAAGAACTATTTTTTACTAATTCCAGTGATTCTAAGAAATTAGAGAATTTCTCCGATTTTTCATTATCGGCTTTAAAGTAACGACAATATTCATTATCTTCAGTTTCCATTGATGTGGATTCTATTGCCTGCAGTTCCTCTTTAACTTTTATAATGCAGTCTCCATCAGTTACATATCTATTTAAATTGGAAAGACTCTTATTTTGAGCATTCTGAGAAACATCTTCATTTATAAATTTTGATGTTGTAGGTATTTCTATACTTCTATTATTATTTGAACAAGTTACATCTTCTGTACTTGTACTACTTGACATTAGGTGTTCCTTTTTTTCATTTATGTCTGTTTTATTGGTATTAACACTAAAATAGTTACTTGATTCTTGAAATGTTATATATTCTTCTAATTTAGATGTACTAGTTTCTTGCTGTGTTTCTTTTTTAGAACATGTTTCCATAGAATCATTAATTTTTTCTGCTCTTATCAAATTGCTGTTTGTTTCTTCTATTGCAGAAGGTAATGATTCTTTATTTTGTAAGTCTTCAACTTCTTCATTTTCAGATAGTTTTGTCTGAGTATTAGAACTTGATTGTTGAGCAGATTCTTCTTCTGTTTTATTCAAAAGTGCTTCAATTAATGATTTCTCTATACGCAGTTCCATATCTGACAATCTTAATTTTAGATTAGAATGTGTTTCCAATAAATCTTTTGTACCAACTTCAGTTTGTAACATTATTATTGATCTTTCTTCTAATGTTAGATTAGTATGTTTCTCAGGATATGGTTCTTCATATTCTTCATCTGGTATTTCTATTATTTGAACACGTTCCTCATCTGGCATACTTTCGAAATTATCATTATTTACTGTATTTGATTGTATTGGTTGTTCTATTTTTTGTATAAATTTCTTTTCTAATTTTTTATTTTCTTTAAGTTTTTGTTTCTCTATTTGTTTTCTAATTTTCATTAATTTCTTGGCTTCATGTATATTTTTTGCAAATTTTGGTTTCTTTACTTTCATTTCTCCTGAAATGCTATTATCTTCTCCTGGTATTGCTCGTTTTTTTAAGGGTAAATTAACATAATTAAATTCTAATTCTTGTTTGACGTGTGTTTCATAATTACTAGTGCTGTCTGTTTTATATTCTGTATGTAATTCTGTTTCTCTGTCCATTACAGAACTTTGTTGTTCTAATGATAATTTTAAATCACTTGTATGAACTTCTTCAATATTGTCTGATGTTTCACTACCAGAATTACTCATATGGTTTGTTTCTTTAGAAAAAGTTGATGTACTTGATTTACTGCTTGCAATATTAGAACTAGAACTACTAGATTGTGAGCTTTTACTGCTTGATCCATTTGAACCATCTCTGTCTGTAGAGCGTCGATCATTAGAATTCCTTCTTAAACTAGAATGATCATCTTTTGGCTTGGACTTTTTTTCTTCTCTTCGCCTTTTGTCTTTATGTTGTAAATCATTTTTACTATCTCTTTTACTATCTAATTTCTCGTTTCGAGTTGCGCTTTTACTTTGCGGGTAGTTTTTGGCGTCTTTTTTGCCGTTTAATTTCTCACTACTTGATTTAATATCTTTTCGTATTTCAGATTTTTCTATTTTTTCTTCCTTTTCATTTTTTATAAATTTCTTTATATCTTGTTTTTCTAATTTTTCTGTTGCTTCTGATTTTATACTGAGATGGTTTTTAGACTTTATATAATCTTTAGAAATACGTCTTTCATCTCGTTTATTCTTATCTTTGTCTTTTGGTTCACTTTTTTTTTCTTTTCCATCAATAATTTTGTCAAATGCTTTAACAGTTTTGATGTCATGAGAACTTGATGAGGAATTTCTAGATGAACTTTTATGTTCCTTTTTATAAAGTTTCTTGTCTTTTGGAGAATCCTTTTTATCTTTATTTTCTTTGTTTGATTTTAATTCTTTATTGTCTTTATTCAATTTTTCCTTTTCTGTTAATTCTTTCTTTTCTCTAAGTTCTCTAATTTTTTCTTTGTATAGATCTTTTAGATCTTTCCCTTCTTTACTGATATTATCTTTCTTGTCTGTTTCTCTTATCTTATCTTCCTTTACTTTAGTATTGATATCTTTTTCTGCATCTTTTATTTTTTCTATACTGTCTCTTGGTTGATCATTTTTATCTTTAATTTTATTTTTATCATATTTATCATACTTTGAACTACTATGACTTCTTTCTTTCTTTTTATCACTATTTCTATCTCTATGATGTTTTCCATCTTTCACATAATTTTTATCTTTTGATTTTGATTTGGATTCAGTGTCCTTGCTTTTTTCTTTATTATTTTTATGTTCATATTTATCTTTTATACTACTGTCTGTAGCATCACGAGAATTTTCTTTAGATGATAAATTGTTTTTAATATTTTTAGAATCTTTAACATCTTGTATATCTTTAGTTTTATTTAATTCAAAAATATTTTTATTACTTTTATTTTTACTAGTTTCATATTCTTTGACAATTTTAAAATTGTCTTTATTATTTTTAACATCACATTTATCTTTATTGAAATCATCTTTCAATACATCGTGTATTGGTGTTGATGCATGATTAGAAGATCCAAAGTCAGTTACAATTGATAACCGAGAATCAGAAGAAACTTTACTTAGCTGTGAATCTTGGTTACTATAATCGAAATTATCTCTTGATAATTCATTACAAAAATCAGGACTTCTAGATCTATGGCTAGTTAATTCTGATATACCTGATAAATGTGAATCATTAGAGTTGTTAGATTCATTTAAATTCATAATATCAATTGGTTCAAAAGTAGGACTATCTTCTTCATCTTCTTCTGTTTTATCATCTGATTTTCCAGATATATTTAAATTTAAAATACTACCAGTCTTATTAAAAATTTTATCACTTTCATCTAATGCTTTCTCTTCAGAAGAAATTTGTCCATTTTCAGATATATTATCTTTATCTTTTTCATTGAAAATTTCTTCCTCTTGGAATTTTTGTTCATTAACTAATTTTATGTCTTTCTTTATTTCTAAATCTTCCATTGCATCCACAGATTCCAAAGATACATCTTTTAAACTATTTTTATCAGATTCTGGCGAAACAGGATCTAAATCTTTGGGTAACAAATCTTTAAGGCCACATGCACCATTTTTTTCTTTTGCCTTAGGTCTTTCTATGCCTAGAAACTTGTATACTACATCTTCAATTTGAGTCATAAAAACAGAATATACTTTTGGATTTACTACTTGATCTACTATGCGTTCTACACCAGCATCTAAATATGGAGCTTCGTGTATGTGTTTTCGTAATGTTTCTCTCAATTGGTTTTTGTTTAAATCTGGTTTCCATGATTGTTTACTCAGAAAAGAATTTACAGATCCTTCAACTCTTGTACGTAAATTTTGATATGCTGGCTACAATAAGAATGATACAGATTATTAGATATATCATGTATATCTATAATTATACGTAGATGAAAACAAGAGTTTCAAAAACTAAATTTTTATTGAAGAATTTTTAGTATATAATATGTATACAAATATAGTATTTAAAAAGCATAGCTATATATTGCTTTATTAATGACTGTATCATAATTCAACAATAATGTTTAAAATAATTGTGTAAATATTTTTATCATTATATGAGGTTTCAATAATAAATTTATTGTTTCAATAAATGTTACATACCTTCGTATCAACATCAGCGATACATTCTTTACGAAATTGATCAAAAATTCCTTGAGATTTAACTTCTCCCACAATGTGATCTACTAATCGTGGATCACCTGCCAATAACGTATTGGGTAAACCCAATTCCATGATAAATAAATTATTCAAAATGATTGTAATTCACTTGAATATTAAACAATCATTCATTTTCACTGACGAAGTCATCCCGTAAAACAGTACGCAGCCATAGTCTTGATTTTGCGTCTAGGTTAAATGTTGCATCTGTGTGAGTAAATGAATAATAATCAGTGATACCAATCTTCTTTATTTACACTAACAAGTATCATAGTCAAGAAAGATGTTAAAGTCAATGGTACAATTTACGATAAACAGGCAAAAATAAGAGAAGTCAGTATAATACATTCCTACTAAAATTTATTTGCATTTCATACTAATAAATGAAGATAATTCTTATATCTGATCAAAATAGAACAAGTAATTAAAATTTGTATACTATATAAAAATATAAAGGTATATTTTTTGAATTTTCTTTCAATAATTATTTTAAACAAGAAAGTAAAACAGTTCAGTTTTTTGTTGTGTTATGATTTTTATTACATGTTATTCACTCTTTACATGTACATATTTACGAATGCGCTAAGACTTTTGACTGAACGTGTTTCTGAATAGGGAATTTATGATATGTAGTTGGTCTTACAGCATATCTACAAAATTTATACCGTGGATCTTGCAGTCGTTTTTAACATGGCAAATTGTACGGTGTCAAATGGAAATTGTTCGTGATTTTGTTATTTTCTAGTATCGTCAAATAATATTGTTCTTTTATTACATACAGTTTTGTACCCTTCTAGTTATGAAGAGAGTAACACTTTTTGTCAATGGAAACAATATTTTAAATGGCAAGGTGGCTGTGATTTTATTCATATGTATAATAAACTGTGTTCTAGAGTTTGCTTTTTATTTTCAATGAAATATATATCATGCCTTTTCCAATTCTTGTTATATATTATAGTTATGAATCGCATATTATGTTATTTTGAATAATGTATTTCATATATATTATATATGATTTTATAAGTAAACAAAGTTTTAATAAGTATATACTTTTCAATTATTTTATTTTATTGTAGATTATTTTTATACATAGTCTTCTTGCAATATTTTTCTGTTTAAATAAAATATTTATTTTAAAAAATATATTGTTTTTATTCATATTTAATACAATAATTAATGTTTAATATAATATAGTTTACTTGAATATATAGTTTTTTAAATTGAAGTTAGTATATAATTATGTGAAATTGTGTTTGACAACATATTTATATATTATGAAAGAATATTTAAATAAAAGCTTCAATAAAGTATGAACAAAATGAGAATACTTTTGTAATCTCTAGATCCTATATAATTTTTACCATGTTGAATATTTAATGAAAAGTTTATTCTATTTAATTTTCATTAAAGATTTATATAGTTTACAATAAACATAAATCTATAAAAATTATTGTTAAAATTGTTACTTTATAATATATTTATATTAGAAATGATAAATTTATATTTAGAAAAGGTTTATTAAATTTTGTAAAGGAATATAATTAAAAAATATAAAATTTCTATGATTTTTGTCTTTTTTTATTTTTATACATTTTGTTTTATGTAACAACTAAGTTTTTCAATCAAAATTTATTCAGGTGATTATTTTAAGAAATTATAAAGTAAATATTTCACATATAAAAAATAAATCGTATATGCATAATTTAATTTGTTTTAGGTATTTAATCTAAGCAATTCATTAGATGAATTGTTAATAGCAGCCAGCTCAAAATTTAACATTACTGTAAAAAGAATATTTAATGCTCAGGGTGGAGAAATTGATGATATAAACCTAATTCGGTAAAGTAAATGGTATATCAAGATCAATAATCTATGTTTTATTCATGGTACATATAATAATATAATAAAATGAACTTTTTACAGGGATGATGATGTTTTATATGTTTCATGTGGAGAAGATTTTATTCCAAAGGATAAGCTTTGTACCCAGAGTCAGTTAAATACTTGTTCAGAATGGATTACATTGAATGTTGGTGGAAAATATTTTACAACAACTAGAGATACTTTGACAAAAAATGAACCAATGAGTATGTTGGCTAGGTAAGCAAATGTATTTAATTGATTTGTGATTTAGTCAAAATTACAAATTAAAAAATATGCTGACATTGTTTTATTGATTTTTAGTTAAAAATTACCTTTGTACATACTTATAATATGAAAACACAGAATGTTTACAGACACTACAGGCACAGAACAGAGAATCTTACCTAGCCGACAAGATAAAAATGGTGCATTTCTAATTGATAGGAGTCCTACTTACTTTGAACCATTGTTAAATTACTTAAGACATGGACAAATAATACTTGATGCCAATGTGAATGCGGCAGGTGTGGTATTGATCATACTTTACAATTTATTTTTTATATGATTGTATGAGTTTTTAGTGTGATTTTTGTGTCATTTCAATATCTTATTTACAATATTTGTTTTAATGATTATATATTTTTTAATAAATGTTAATTTTTTAGGTGTTTTGGCAGAAGCACGTTTTTATGGATTAGAAGGTGCTATTAATATATTAACTGCAATGGCAGATGAAGAGGAACTTCAAAGAAGTGGTTTGGTATCTTTTACTCGTAAAGATGTACTTAAAGCAATTATGTCAACATCTACAACTTCAGAACTTAGATTTCAAGGTGTTAATTTTGTTGGTGCTGATTTATCAAAGTTAGATCTTAGGAATATAAATTTTAAGGTAATTAAAATTATATTACCTTATAATATAATTATAATATGAATATTCTAATAAAGTTTATATAAGTAACTAAATATAGTTAGTACAAATTTGAAATAATATTTCAGTATGCAATTATGCGTGGCTGTAGCTTAGCAGGTTCAAATTTATCGGGTTGTTGTTTTGAACGAGCAGATTTGTCTCATGCAAATCTACAAGGTGCTCAGTTAATTTGCGTCAGAATGCTATGCGCAAATTTAGCCGCTGCCAATCTTCACTCGTGCAATTTTGAAGATCCTTTAGGTCAAGCTGCCAATATGGAGGGTGTAAATCTTAAAGGTGCCAATCTTGAAGGCAGTATTATGGCTGCAGTAAATCTTAGGGTAGCAACATTGAAAAATGCTAATTTAAAAAACTGTATTCTTAGATCAGCTATTTTAGCTGGTGCTGATTTGGAGGTACTATTTTCCGAATAATTATTTTCCATATAATACATATTTTTTTTGATAACGTTAAATTATTTGTACTTGTTTCAGTGTTGTGACTTATCGGGATCTGATTTGCACAATGCAAATTTACGTGGTGCCAATTTTAAAGATACTGCGTTTGATTTGATGTTAACACCCTTACATATGTCTCAAACGATACGATAAATGTGGCTTAGGTTTTGTGATGTAGATATTTATTTAATGTATAGGAAAATAACAATTTTAGTGATATCGCTTTTATAGGTACACGATATGCTTAACAGTTAATGCAAAGTGTGCGCCGAATTTTGTGCTTTTGGGCGTATTTGTTACGTCAAATTATTTTTGCATCGTAGACTTACGGCCTAGCATTTCAATCAGTAGCTTAACGGATTTATGACTTTTAATTATGACTTCTAAAAGATTTATATCCTTTCTACATTAAGAATATTAAGGTGGATAAAAGTTCTAATAGAGAATGAGGGACATTTCTACTGTCAATTAATTAAATATGATTCCGCATGTCCTTGCACTTTTTCGTATATAAATAGCTATGTATTTTTTACATGGTCCTAAGGAAACAAATATCTTGATATTCTCTATACATGCACATAAACAAATACAAACTGATACTATTTACGCAAATATCTTAGTGCAAGCTCTGCATACAACATGAATCATCGTGGGAAATACACTAGTATTAAGAGAAGGTCTGAATATTTCCTCATTTGTACGAAATAGATGTATTTGGATTGTATGTGACCATAGTGTATATTGAGTGAATGTACGATAATCGCATAAATTATTTATAATACTTAATCTAAATAAAATACAAAATATTTAACTTTGTTTACTGTACAATATTGTGATGAAAGAAACACATTTTTTACTTTTATATTTTAAGTAAATATTATTATGAAATATGTTTATTTTATATATATATTCCTTGTATTTACACTGTGTTATTTATTCATTGTTTTGATCTTCGTTTGCGATTTTCATATTATTCCAATTCTAAACAATCAGTAATATATTAATTACTAATAAAGGTATTATTAGTGAAGATAATACAAGCCATTTATACCGTATACATATATTCAATAAGATACACAAAAACAAAATTTCAAGAGACATTTAATTTGTTATTAGTAATTATCTAAAGTCGTATATAATTTGATAATAACGAGCATCATGATTTTTCGATAAAATATTTAATTATGAGCAAAACAAGAAGTAAAATATGAACAAAAATGATATGTGAATATGCTCAAGAGTATGGCGTTTGTAATGCGTGCAATAATATTTACAAATTAATTGTCTAAAAGATAGTAATTAGTGAATTAAGAGAAAATTTATTTCGAAAATTATTTTGGAAAATTGTTTAAGGCTGCGGTTTTCCAATGTAATTATAAAAGTTCATAAATTAATCAGAGATTGAGCAATTTGTTAATTTTCCACTATCGAATCGATTTATTAGAATGTATTAGGAATACATAACCAGAGTTAGTAGCTTATTCAAATAAAATCAATAAATTTTCATCAGAGCCATCTATGATTTTGGATATAAAGTTCACAAAAATAACAGGAGCATAGAATGCGCGAGGAGGTATACATGAAAAATTAAGAAATAACGGCTAGCGACATCTATGACTTTGGACTAGAAGCTTGTGTTCCCGTCCAAACTTATAGATGGCGCTAGCTGTTATTTCTTAATTTTTCATGTATACCTTCTCGCGCATTCTGTGTTCCTGTTACTTTCCTGAGCTTCGAGTCCAAAATTATAGATGGTTCTGATCGAAGAATGAAGTAACTTGAATCTGATTTCTGTGACTAATTTATGAACTTTTATAGGTGCATCGCAAAGCTGGAACTGTAGGCAATATTCCTATACAATTTTCGTACATAATTTGACGCGAATTAGTTTGTCGTTAATATTTATTTCATGGGCGGTCGTGATTTCGTAATAACGATCAGCAAGATTTTATTAGCAATAGTAATTACTAATTACTAAACTATACTAACTACTAATAAATATTACTAATATTAATAATTAGTGACATTAGCAATTGCAATTAATAATTACTAAACTATACTAATGACCAATAAATATTAACTCGTAGATTAATAAATATTACATATTATATATTACTACTAATATTATTACTAATAAATATGACACACTAATAAACGTTAATAAATAGTACAGACTAAAATTCGCCTTGAACAGTGTTATCCTTCATATTTTATTTCACGTGAACATTTCCAAGATCTTTTATCCCATTTGTTCTGTTTCTCATAGTACCGTTCAAATGCAACAAGTAATAAATCCTCAGTACATTGAAAGATGTCTCTGCTCGGCTGTGACACACTTGTCCTCGATAATCATGCAATGGTTAAGTGCAGTTCTAAACTATCGCGAGACTCCTGGAACCTGTTCACCGTGGCTTTCGAGGCCGTAAATTGCCGCGAAATTCCTTGGAGAATCGTGTCTTGCTATACATTTAATAATCGCTGCCAGAGAAAAGCCCCGCGCGAACAACATGTTCGTCGAATTGAATTTGTCTCTGCCATAACTGTTTGCAGTTACACGAGCGCGTCGATAGCGGACCGACACTAGCGACTTGCTGGCGGAGATTTGTCCTAATCTCGTTTACTATAGTCCAGAAACATTCGCCACGCAAGTACGGAGTACGGAGTTACTCTTCCTGGCTAACGAAATCACTTTAACGAGGCCATCGTAGACGCTCTTGGTCGCCGACTACTAGCGCCACCACTTCTATTCTAATGGAAATAAGATTGTCGAAAGTTATTGGTCTGTCCTGCACCTTCGGCGATGTTGGAATTTTTGGTAGCTTCCTAGTTGGATAACAAGTAAAGGGAAGAAGCTAAATTGCTACACCTTTCGTTTCGTATTTGATAATATTAGTTATAATAACGATAAAATTAGTTTAGGTAGATTCAATTCTAAATTCCATGTTTGAATATTGCGAATAGGAGATTTTCTGTATCTTGTTGTAAGAAACAGGTAATTCTGAACAGTTTGATGAATGTATTATTAATTATACATTTCTGGAGTAAATTGGAATTTTTTAACGAGGAATTTTTATAGGTATTTATCAAAAATATATTGATAAAATTGTGAGTCCAGACGAAATGGCAGCGATACGGAACGAAATTTGGTTATCTTTTGGATAACGGAAGCTGTAACACATCCTCTATTTATACAAACAATACTGATAAAATTGTGAGCCCAGACAAAATGGTGGCAATACGAAACGAAATTAGGTTCTCTTTTGGATAACAGAAATTTTAACACACCCCTCATTTATAAAAAAATATTGCTAAAATTGTGAGCCCAAAATAAAATAGCAGCGATACGAAAGGAAATTTGGTTCTCTTTTGGATAACAGAAGTCCTAACATACTCTTTCGTCATCGGTTTCTTTTGTCGCACGATAAATGACTCGTATGCGCGGTCACATTTGTGACTTCTTTGATGTTAAATTGCTTCGGGAAACGAGGCTGCTAACCATTTTACCTAGTAGTTCGAGTTGCAGCTTAATTGTACTATGGAGCAGCACAACGCTCCTGAAACAGGGGCTCTCAGGATCCTAAACAAGAATCTTGCAGAGAATCTCCGAAAACGATCATTTTCTTTTATAAATAAAATTACCATTCCAAACTCATGAAATCTCTGAAATATCTGAAAGTTACACTAATCCATGTGGTTCCTCGTCATTTGTTACCAAGTAAAAACGAAAGTAGCAGTAACCACACATTTTTTATACAAAAATGAATTAATTTTATAAATAGAACATTTATTGTATATAGTACTTTTCTTTAAAATTAACATTTTAATCAATAATAGGATAATTTACAATTACCCTTGTGATATTAATAATTTGCAAGAAATTTCATATTTTATATATAATAATAATTTCATATATTATAAACTATAACTTGATGATATAATAATCAAAATTACACGTGCTTTTAACAAAAGATATTACGATAGTTGTAACATGTACTGATAAAAGTCTCTATCATTTAAAAATATTTTTAAATCTAACCTAACCCTTTAATAAATTCAAAGATACAATTTCTTGCAAATCATACACTCTTTATCATCACCATCATAACACCATAAGAATTTTTCCTTTATTAACTATTATCCATAGTAACAACAATTTAAAGAATTATTACTTCAATTAACGAACACCATAATTAACGAAATTTCCAGAGTGAAAATGAAAACTGTATATAAATAAAATATCTATTCCAATAATTCAATCATTTTCAATCACTACATTCTCATGTCACCTCTGTTCCTCATCCAAAAATTCGGATATTAAGAAAACAAATTTTATTTCCAATTCCTCATCATTCAATAGTTCCATGATCCAATTAACCATATCTATTCATGGCTGACTAAGCTAGGTTAGGTTAGGTTAGGTTAGGTTAGGTTAGACATATAAATACAATATCTATTCCACTAATTTCTTCATTTTCAATCACTACATTCTCACACCTCTGTCCCTCATCCAAAAATTCGGATATTAAGAAAACAATTTTTATTTACAATTTCCCTTCATTCGATGATTTCACGATCCAATTGCTATATCCATTCACGGCTCTTCCATCTCATTGAACCACAATTCTTAAGAAAATTCTCCAACTTGGCGATTCATCGTTACGTTGGAAAACGTGAAAATTCGTGGCGGCTAAAGTTGTAGCGGGGTGCTGAAACGGTTGAAAGTTGAGAGTCACAGTTGCGACCGCGACATAACGTTAAATTGGAGACTATATTCCGGCGCACGAAATTGCATAGGTTCACTAAATAGTGGCACTTTAGCACGACCTTCCGCTAATAAGATCCTTCGAGTGATACTCGCTGCGAAGTGTTTAAAGTTGAACGTTATGTCTGATACCTTGTTGTCGGCACGCGTTTCGCTTCTCGTCCCGTGCCAGCCTCGTCTGTTTAGATTTCGATCGGATCAAAATCATATTTATAACTTTCGTATGGCGAAAAAAGAAAGGCGAAAAATGAAAGACGAAGGGGGGTGAGGAGAGAGAGAGAGGGGAGGGATGCTTTTCAAGGCGTTTTATGTTCGTTTTCAAGGCGTATTAAAGATTTTATGCACGTAACGTATGAATGTGCATTACATCGATGTAAATACGGTATGGAAAAAAGTAGGCCAGTTTAAAGCACACAACAGGGAAACGTCTCGTAGATTCCTTTCCATTTTTCTCTATTTTTACAACTTTTCCACGTTTCGTGATATTCTGCTTTTGATATTTAATTTCGGTCATGGTGCTTTTCACCATTTTCCAATTGTGGCCTTCCTTTTATTATCAATTTT